TATAAAATATAAAATACGGATTATATTGACCCAGACTGATCAACACCAAGACATATCTAGAAAAACGACTGAACTTAAGAAACAGAAAAAAAAAGAAAAAAAATCTTTCAGGCATCTAGCTTAAAAAAAAAACCAGTGATTTTGTGATGGTTAAAAATAGACAGTCATACTTGTCGACAGCAACATTCAACATTCCATGCTAGATGACAACTGGGACTTTTGAATGGCTTTATTCTCTGTATCCTTGAGAATCAGGATTTTTAAAAAATGTTTATTTATTTTCAAGGCAGAGACAGAGGATCAGAAGTGGGCTCCGAGCTGACAGCAGAGAACCCAATGCGGTGCTTGAACTCACAAACCATGAGATCATGACCTAAGTCACAGTCAGACGCTTAACTGACCGAGCCAGCCAGGTGCCCTGAGAATCAGGAATCTTGATGAAGACCAAGGACAAACAAGATGCTGGTGTAATACCAGAAGAGGCCGAGCAAAGCAAGACACCCAGGAAACTCTCAAAACCATTAGGGTCGTGCCCGAAAGACTCAGGAGCCAGACTGAAGAAGCTTCTACTGGCCAAAGAGTGGACCTTGGCAGCCTTGCCAAAGGCAGTAATTGCAAAGGACTAAAATACATCAAATGTGTTTAAATCTATGATACTGGGGGCGCCTTGGTGGTTCAGTCGGTTGAGCATCAGACGTCAGCCCAGGTCATGATCTCGCGATTCACGAGTTCGAGCCCCGCAGGGGGCTCTGTGCTGACAGCTCAGAGCCTGGAGCCTGCTTCAGATTCTGTGCCTCCCTCTGTCTCTCTGCCCCTCCCCCACTCATGCTCTGTCTCTCAAAAATAAATAAAGCACATTAAAAAATATAAAAAATAATAAATCTATGATACTGATACTAAAAAATACTACAGTAATGGCGCTAGAAAAACAAGAAAGCTAATTGGTCACCTTCAGATGATGACAGGGAGCAAATACATGATCTTAAAAGCTAATGAGTAAAAGGGTGCCTGAATGGCTCTGTGGTTAAGCATCCTACTCTACATTTCAGCTCAAGTCACGATCTCACAGTTCATGAGTTCGAGCCCTGGGTTGGGCTCTGCACTGCCAGTGCAGCAGCTTGGGATTCTCTGTGCCACTCACGGTCTCTATCTCACAAAATACATAAACATTAAAAAAATAAATAAAAAAGCTAATGAGTAAAGGGAGCGAACAAACTTTTATCCTGCTTTTCCCATACGAAACTCACCACTGGAAACAAATAGTAGGAAATGTCTCCATATAAAAATATCCCAGTTAATAGGTAAGAGAGCATCAGAATAGCAGAATGTATAAATGGATCTAGACACCTTGAGCTTCCACGGCTGTTAATATCACATGGGCGCAGGCATGGCATGCCTGCCCATGAAAGGATCCAGCACCTTCTCTGGTCCTGCCAGAGGGATAGAACCTCGATCTGATCAAGGTCTGAACTGTGCCAGGAGTTCAAGATCAGCAATTGTCAGATTGTAGGAATACCAATGAAAAGGCCCCAGGGCTTTCAACAGATAAGTCACAAGGAAAAGAAAGGGATGGAGGGGGAGCCAGTAGGTTAAGAAAGTCAAAGGCAGGGGCGCCTGTGTGGCTCAGTCAGTTAGGTGTCCGACTTTGACTTGGGTCATGATCTCACAGTTTGTGGGCTCGAGCCCTGCATTGGGCTCTGTGCTTACAGCTCGGAGCCTGGAGCCTATCTTTGGATTCTGTATCTCCCTCTGTCTCTGCACCTCCTCTGCTCATGCACTCTCTCTGTCTCAAAAATAAATAAACATTAAAAACTTTTTTTTAAATGTTTTATTTATTTCTAGGAGAGAGAGAGACAGCGTGAGCAGGGGAGGGCCAGAGAGAGAGGGAGTCACAGACTGAATCAAGCTCCAGGCTCTGAGCTGGCAGTCAGCACAGAGCCCGACGCGGGGCTCGAACCCACGAACCGCGAGATCATGACCTAAGCGAAAGTCGGACGCTTAACCGACTAAGCCACCCAGGCGCCCCTAAAAGCTTTTTAAAAAAGAAGAAGAGGAAAGTCAAAGGCAAATCTTAAAAACGAGAGAAAGCACAACCAAACTCTAGTGTCTAGGGATGTGTGACCAGGTGGTCCGCTACAAAGACCACAAGGACGTGTGGGAGCCATGGTCCCTCTTGGAGGGAGGGAGGGGCTGTGATTTTGCCAGGGGCACAGGGAGGGGCGGCTGGCACCGTTCTTGACCTGGGTGCTAGTTTGCCTTATAATGACTCATTAAGCTCTGATTCTCTCAGTGAGATGCTCTGTATCTGTGCTTTAATTTACAATAAGAAAGTCAGGTGCCGTCAATCTTTGGCTAAGCACACTCAGGAATGGCCAGAGCCCCAGGGGGGCCGCACAATGGGGGCGGGCTCTTGTCATGGCCAATCATTTCCTTGATGCGCACTTCCACTCTTCAGAGTCATTGCCTCTGCCCAGATGTGTGCCCTCTCCCTGGCTAACACCCTCCCCTCCTCCGGGCCTCTCTCAGGGTCCCCTTGCTAGTGCTGTTTTCCTGGAAAAAGCAATTAAAAACTGTAGCCCTCCAGGAGTGCCTAGATGGCTCAGCCAGTTGAGCCTCCGACTTCAGCTCAGGTCATGATCTTGAGGTTCGTGGGTTCAAGCCCCATGTAAGGCTCTCTACTGGGACCTCAGATTCCAGAGCCTGCTTCCAATTCTGTGATTCTGTGTCTCCCCCTCTACCTCTCTGCCCTTCCCCCACTCATGCTTTCCCTCTCTCTCTTTCAAGAATAAACATTAAAAAATTTTTTTTAAATTGCAGCCCTCCAACGCTTGCGATCCGCCTTCTCTGCTCTACTTTCCTCCGGAGTGCATTTTGCATCTAAGCTGTCATATATATGCTCACTTGCTAGTCTAGGGTTTTGTCCGTCTCCTCTCTTGGGAAAGGCAGGGGTCTCCCCCTGCACCTGGCCCCCAGCAGTAAATGGCTGTCAAATGAATGAGCCCAAGGGGGAGGCAGCGTCTGGCATCCTGGGTCTGGTACGGTCCTGGCTGAGGGCCCTGCCCGGTTGTCACAGCCAAGTCACTGGTGCCCAGGGAGGACAGCTCTCCTTACACAGAGGCCCTGGATGACACTTGTTCCTACCCAGCCCAGATGTGCCACAAGTGACGCGGAGACCCATTAACCTCGAAGACTAAAGTCACCAGCTACCCGCACGAGCTGTGCCCTGTAACTCCCTTCCTGAGCAGGCCGGGCTCCGAGCCTGCAAGTGTCCAAGAGATGGGCGCCCAGGACCAGGGTTTCAAATGTGCAGCAGGAACCACGTTCTCTGCTCGTGAAATTGTTCCCCATTTTGACATAGTAACCAAACTGCTGAGTATTTTATGGTGTCCCCAGAGCCACGTGCTGTCACAATGAGTTGACATTGGCTCCCGGGCGCTTTCCAAGACCCCTCACCACCAGCTCCTCTCTTGCTTAGTCCTGGCTCCCTGTGGCTCACTTCTGCCCAATGCTCATGCACTTAGCCTGCTGCCCCCTCTGGGAATGCCCTCTCCTCTCCTCTCCTCTCCTCTCCTCCCCTCTCGTCTCCTCTCCTCCCTTCAACTCCCCTCCCCTCCTCTCTCCTCTCCTCGTGGCTGGGCCCTATTCCCTTTTCAAAGCTCGCTCCTTTTGTCCAGAGTCAGAGAAGCCCTGCTTGGTGCCAGGCCCCACTCCAGCCTTCACGGGGCTCTCAGTCTTGGCAGAGACAGAGATGGGGGGCAGGGGGGCAGACTGCCTCTAGTCACCACCGCGAAGATGCACGGAGGGCTACAGGTGGGCACCAGGCAACTAGTTTATACTTATGATTTCACTTAGGCCTCACAAGATAAGCCCAAGTACAGAGAGTCTAGTCCAAGGTCCCGAGCCAATGATGGGTGGAGCTGGGCTTTGAACCCAGGTGCTCTGGTTGCAGAGCTTGCTTTAACCACCACGTGCCAAGAATGGACAGCAGCATTGTTGGGAGTCTAGAGGGGGAAGCAACGAACCTGCCCAGGGGTCAGGGAGGCTTGGTGAGGTGCTGGCCAGCAAGGGTGGGGGTGGGTCTAGGCTGAGGGGACAGCATGAAGATAGCCCAGCGGTGAGGGCAGCAAGCTGTGTCCGCAGAGGGCAGCTCCTTGGGGTGCTGGGCTGTGATTGGGGGTGCCACGGGGAGGCCGCTGGGTCAATAGGGCCTGGAGTCCCTCACTAAGAAGACTGGGTTTAGTTCCATGGGTGGCAGCGGGTAGAAGGGCTTTCTTTCCTCATGGGCATGACAAGGTCAAGTGCCTGGCTACTCTCTTGGGAGCAGGGAGGGAGGGGCCAGGGTGCCCCGGAGGGGCAGGGCCTGGCCGGATGCACCCGGGCGGTGGTCCTTTCTCCCCCTAGCTCCTCTACTTCCTCTGGAATTGGGGGCAGGGACTAGATCTCTGAGACTCAGTTTCCTCCTCTATAAAATAGAAGTGGGGCGCCTGGGTGGCTTAGTCGGTTAAGCATCCGACTTTCACTTGGGTCATGATCTCGCGGTTCGTGGGTTCGAGCCCCGCATTGGGCTCTGTGCTGACTGCCAGCTCAGAGCCTGGAGCCTGTTGCAGTCTGTGATTCCCTCTCTCTCTGATCCTCCCCTCACGCTGTCTCTCTCTCTCTCCTAAAAATAAATAAAACATTTAAAAAATAAAATAAAATTAAAATAAAATAAAATAAAATAAAATAAAATAAAATAAAATAAAATAAAATAAAATAGAAGTGGCGCCTGCCTCCCAGGGTCATGGAGGCTCGAACAACCTATCACAGGCAAACATGCCCAGCACAGCCGGGGCCTTGCAGGTGCCCAGAAGGGCGGTGCTTGGGTGTCACTAAGACCTCAGGGAGTCTTCCCTGAGAAGGGGTGCGGGAAGTTGCCCATCATCTCCCCCATCTTCTTTGGAACACAGCCCACTCTCCTGAGTGACCCTTTCCCTTCCCAGGCCAAGCAGCCTGACACTCACCACCACCTCCAGGTCGGAGTTCAAGTGTCGCTGGGTGTCCGACATCTGCACCAGGATCTCCCCTGGAGGCAGGGAGAGCAGCAGCTTTAGGGCCCCCCCCCCGGCGTGCCCCACCCACCCCTCCTCCTGCTAGAAGGTGCCAGGGGGCTGCCTGAAGCTGGATTTGGGGACCAAAGTCCAGGGAGTTCCCAGATGGCTCTGGAAGGGTGGCAGTGCCGGTCCCAGCCCAGGAACAGCCCTGCAGCGAACGGTGGGGAGGGGCTTGGGCTCCTGGGCTGCAAGGCTTGTGTCTTGGGGGGGATTTCCTGGAAGGGCAAGAACATCCAAGGGACCCTCCGTGGGATCTCAGGATGGTGGGGAAGGCCGGCCTCGGGCCTGAGGGATGGCAGGGGGGAGGCAGAGGGGCCTGGGCGACAGGCAGAGGCCTGGGGTGGAGGCAGGGCTAGGAGGAGAGCCCCCCCAGACCCAAGTAAGAGTGAGGGGTGCAGTGGGAGGGGGGGTGCCTCACCCAGAATCTGGGAGGTGGAGCTCTGCAAGGCCTGCTCTCCGATCTTCTGGATGGCGTTGAAGTACACCTCAGCCGCCTCGGACAGAGCTGCGTGGGGACAGCGGATGGGTCCGTGTCCAGCCCCCCCCCCCGCCTCCACCTGCCCCCACCCTCTGGAGACCCTTCCTGTCAGGAGAGGGCAGGTGGAGGGGACACTGTGGGGTCTGCCATAGGCGCAGGTGACAGGGAGGGATGTCCTGGGTGGTGTGTATGGACAGGTGGCATCGGCCAACGGGGTAAAGCAGGTGCAGGGCCGGGGAGGGCCTTCCCTGCGGAGGCAGGGCCCCGCAGCAGCTGCGCTGAGCACAGGGATCGGTGCCGAGCCGGACACCGCCATGGGTTTGTCATGGGCAGGGGCGCAGGCACCCGCGTGTACCTATGTGGAGGATGGGGGCAGGTGTGTTCTGATGCGCAGGTGTAGGGGCCCAGGGTGGGGGTGGGCTGAGGTGGCGGGTGTGGGGGAAAAGCAGGCTTTGACTCTGAAGTCTGAAAAGGCTGGGAGGGGAGGGGGTGGCCCTCAGCTCCGGGTGTGCCCCTGGCTTGTCCGGCTCACTGAGGGTTGCAAGCCCTGGGGGAGTGATCAGCCTTGGTGTTGCTGGGAAGTGGGGGAGGGGCAGCCACTTGCACGGGCAAGTGGGGCGGGGGGGGGGGTCAGCTGTAGGTGTGCGGCCAGGGGCCTGGTCACAGCGAGGACAAACAGCTGTGGTGCGAAGCCGGGGTGGCAGAGGTGGGCCTGGGCATAGCAGTGGGCTCCGGCGCTAGCATCAAGGTGACGTTCAGAAGTGTGTGTGTGGTTGGGGCTGTGCAGGCCGCCAGGGCCTGGCTCTGCATCTCTGGGAGCATCCTGAGGGCACCTAAGAAGTGGGCAGAGGAGGCTGTGGGGTGTGGGGGTGAGGGTGGTGGACAGGAGGGTGCAGGGGTGAGCCTGAGCTGAGTGTCTGCTGTGGAGGTGCGGAGAATATGGGTGGGGGCACAGGTGACTTCACGGGCAGGCGGGGGGCAGGGAAGGCCAAGGGGCTGGTGCCCTGGGGTGGGCACTTACCATGGAAGGCCCGGAGGTAGTTGTTTCCGAGGTACACCAGGTTCTCCAGGGCGGGGTTAAACTGCTCCATGATACTCTGGAGCCCGAGGCCAAGGGGTGGGAGGATGAAGATTGGGGGAGGAAGAAAGCTTGATAAGCAGGGAGGCAAGTCCCTGGGCCTCAGATGCAGGGCATCGCTGGACCCAGAGAGAAGCCCGACCCTAGGCGAACCGTCTAGAAATGTGGGGTCACCCAGAATCCTAACTCCACTGCAGGGACCTCAAAGGCTGTCTCTTGGGCTCACACACTTGCTGTGGCAGGAAATTGCTCCCAAGATGATGCAGCTGGAAGGTTCTTCTCCTCCCACGGGGTTGAAGCCTGTGGTCCATTGTGGGTGCCCGGCTGGGTGTGGCTCAACCCTGCCCTGGGTCCAGGCCTCGCTGGACTGAACACACAGGTGGCCGACAGTTAACTCGGCCAAGGGCAGATCTTGCCCTTCCCAGAGAAGAGCCCCTTGGGGGCAAGGCTGTGGCTGGGCCATGGACCACCTGAGGCCATGGCCGGCGGGAGAGTGCCCTCGGTGGTGGAAAGCACTGGGCACGGGCTTCAGGCTTGGGTTCAAATCCCAGCAGCCTCTCTGGGCTCTCTGGTGACCTTGAACAAACTGTTTAACCCTGCTGGCCTCAGTTTTCTCATCTATCATTGCGGGTGATTATTTTCTATCCTATGGGCCAGGGTGTCACGGGGTTTCTATGTGAAAGGGTGCTGTACACAGTAGGTGCTCACTAAAAGTCTACAGAGACTGCACCAACCTCTGGAGTGAGGCAGGAAATTTGAGTGAGGGGCTCAGAAAGGAGAGACAGACAGAGACAGGAAGTTAGAGACAGACAGACAGAGAGGGACTCTCCAGTCCTAGGCCAGGCGGCTCTCTGGCCCCCCGGCTCCCACCTCTAGTCACCCTGGGCCCTGTCCTGCCTGTGCGGCATGTAGGAGTGCTGTCTCCGCAGGCCTGTTGCTCACTGGGTGACAGTGGACAAACCCCTGCCCAGGGATCCCCACGTCATGCCCGCAACCCCTCCTGGTTCACAGACCATGCTGCGCCCACACGCACCCTCCAGCCTCCAGAGCCGGCCCGGCATCCAGCCCTGGGAAGGGATGTTCGGGCCTGGGGCCCACGGCCGCGCACACGCTCACCTTGTAGATGGCCATGGTGGATCTGTAGAACTGATCCATCTCGGGGGCCATGGAGTGGGCTGCGGCCCAGGTGCTGAGCAGGAGGCTGGGGTGTCGGCAGGGCGGGGAGCGCGGGGGGTCGGTCCCCAGTGCCCACTGCTCTAAGGGAGTGAAGAATGTCGTGGAGATGGAGGGCCTGCTGGCCCGAGGAGGAGGTGGCAGCTTAATTATTCACCAGCCAGGGATGTCAGAATGTGATCTGGGGCGTAACCAGACCCCGGGGGAAGGCATACTGTGACGCGGGCAGGTTCGTGTGACCTGCCCTTCAATTATTTACCCCTCTGAGCCGTGGGCCGGTGGGCATGTGTGGATGGGGCATTCTCGTAGGTCACCTCCTCCTCCAGGCTGAATCTTCCCCAGGCCCAGCAGGGTACTCCCCCGGCCTCACCCCATCTGTCCAAGGGCACTCTCTAGGTTATAGAGCCAGAGCTGCTGGGTGCCCTCCCCTGGGACCCTCTGGGACAGACCCTGCCTGAGGCCAAATGTACCATGGAGGGAGCATCGAGCATCGTTGTTCTCTGGCCTCTTCTCTACCCCAAGCCGCTCACACCCCCCCTTCAAGGGCCGAGTCTTCCACATCTGCCGCCAGCTGCCCAGCCCCTCTCACGCTGGAGAGGCCATACCGCAAACCCCAGAGCCGTGCAGACCCGGGCCGGACCTCATCCCTCCGCACTGGCTGTGTGACTATGCCCAAGCCCCCTGCCCTCTCTGGGTCTCATCCCCTGCCCCAGCAAACGGGGGGAGTGAGCTGTGGGCAAGTGGGCTTAGCTGCCGCCTCTGAATACCCTCACAGGCCTGATTTGGAGCAGAGAAGTAGTATCCCCAGGGGAGCCCGGAAACAGCATTCATCCAATGGGGCCCAGGAAGATGACAGTCAAGGCTGAAGGGAGCTGGTGGGTGCAGGGGCTGGGCGGGTGTGTGTGGGGGGTACTTCGAGCACAGTGCACACAACACAGGTGAACTTGAATCAAACCATTTATTTCAGTTCAGGGCAGGCCCCGGAGCCCCGCCCTACCCATCAACCACTTCCTACTTCCTCAGGGTGGGGGGGAGGGGGGATCGGGAATAACTGAAGTGACAGGAGTGACCTTTGAGAGCTGAGGCCGAGCTCAAAGGGTGGGGCAGTCCCAGGGGTGCAGGCGGCTGTGTGTGTGTTGAGGGCAGAGTCAGAGGGGGTGGGGTGGGGGGGAGGGGCCAGGGTTTCCCCTGCTGATGGGTGGCAAAGTCCTGTTTCTCCAAGCCCCCTACCCCAGGAAAGAGGATAGAGAGTGGACGGGGTCTTGGCACACACACACACACACCCCCAGGGGACCTGGGAGATCCCCTTAGCTAACAGGGCTAGGGGCCCAAGGGTCAGCTGTCCTTGGCGGTCAGGGAAAGGGCCCCAGTGAGGCGCTAGGGATTTCTAAGCCTGGAATGACAAAAAGGGCCAGGAGGCGGGACGGTGTGGGCAGGCCTCAGGACCCGCCTCAGGCAGGGAGCCCAGCACCCTCTGAGGCCTGGTGTGTCTGGTCCGCGGATGCAGAGCCGCCTCGGCCCAGCTCGGCCTGGTGGCGCGCTGGTTCGAGGCCGCCCAGCCTCTCCATCAGGGGCTAGGTGCGGGGGGCTGGGGGTGGGGGTGGGGGCCTAGCGGCCTCATGGTGAGAGCAGCAGCTGAATGAGTTTCTGGAACTGTTCCCGGTGCTCATAGATATAAACCTCCGTCTCCCACAGGGCGTTGACCAGCACCATGTCGCTGACCTCATCCAGCATGATGTCTGCCCCCAGCTGGGGGTTCAATCTGTCTGGGTCAAGGAGGAGGGCTCACCCCAGGAGGCTCGGCTTGGGGTGGGGACAAGAGCTAGGACGGGCGGGCTTGGGGCACGGACCAGCAGCCCAGGGAGGGGGAAGTCCATACCAAGGGCTGGCGGGGTAGGGGGGGAGTTCACCGGGTCTGGCCAGGCCGGGCCGAGGGGCTGGGGCCCAGGGTCAGGGGCCGATGCCGGCTGAGGCCTCACCTGAAGTACTGGATGCCCACCATCTCGCACCAGGCCCGGGCCCGGTCCACGGCCCGCCCGTCGGGATCCGTGCACTGGCAAGACGCAGTCTCTGTGAGTGTCCCCCACATGCTGTACCCACAGTCCCTGCCCGGGGACCCCCAGGTTCTAGTCTGGCTTAGCCACTCCCCAGCAGAGGCCCCCTGCCTGGGTGGTGGCTCGGCAGCGCCTGACTGGGGGAAGGGGGACAGGGGCTGAGCGGGCAAGGCTTTTGTCCATCCGACATTCTAGGCTTCCACATGCGGCCGTGTTCGAAGGGGGGTACCCGCAGTCAAAAGATGCTTGAAAGCCCCGGCTGCAGATGGTCACGAAGGGCCCCTGCCAGCACCGAAACCGAATCGGGGGTTCCCTCCCCTGAGCTGGCTCATGGGGTTCAGCAGAGCCTCCCTGACACCTAGGGGTCCCAGGGCTGAGACCCAGAGGGAAGAGGACCTGGGGAGGGGCCCATACTCACACAGTCCACCACCATCTTGCCCAGTTCCTTGGCCCCAAAGACAGTCTTGGCCAGTTCCCAGGGGTTGCTGGGACGGAATACATCCACACAGGTCACGGGCACCTGTGGGGACCTCCCTGTCCCCAGAGAGACCACGATGGAGAGCTTCTTCACCTTGTTGCCCTGGCCCTGTTGGGGACAGGACACGGGTAGTCCGAGGGGATCTTCCCGTCAGCGGACCCTTCCCCAGGTGGCAGAAACAGAGCGTGCGCTGTCCTCTCTTTGGCTCCCCAACAACCTCTGCTGCCAACATGCTGGGCGACCTTGGCGAGTTCCCTCCCCCCCCACCCCCGCGCCCATCCAGGGTCCTCATCCCCAGTAAGAGGAGACTTAGAGGATGAGGGAAGAAGACCCTCAGCATCCAAATCTTTGAGCCCTTCCTCCTCCCGGAAGCCTGCCTTGCCCTGTCAGGCCACTAGAGGGCGCCTGCCTCTCAGACCACCACCCCTGCTGTGTGTCACCCAGGGGCTGTATCCTGGGCTTCCTGATGACCACAGTGAGACCCACAGCCAGCAAGGATAAGACACACTAGGGGTCAGGCACTGTCCTCAACATGTTACAGAAAAGCACGTGGGTGCCTCACGACAGTCCCCTGCAGGTACCATCAATCAATCCCCCATGCGGTGGCTGGAGCGAGGCCCAGGCAGAGCCAGAACCCAAACCCTTAGGCCATCTGGCTCTGAGGCCTGAGCCTGCGTCCCAGCACCTCTGCTGGCACACATGGGCCGTGCTGGGCCGTGCCCCGCCTCTGCGCCAAGTTACTTGGGCGAAGGCCCCCTCCGTTCCTCTGATCACTATCGCTGCACGGCCTCCTCCCCAGAGGCCTCCTCCACGGGCCCTTGGCAAGCCCCCAGGTCTCCCAGCACAGGCTAGCCTCCTCCTGGGCTCCCGCACCGTCCTCCATCACAGTACCCAAAACCCCTGGAGGGGCGCGTTCTTGTTTACAGGCAGCCCTGCTTACACAGGGCGAGCGTGTGCCCCAGGGCTGGGCAGGGTAGCCAGCACCGGGGCGGGCATGTACCGCAGTGCCTACTGCCGTCCCCACTAGCTGCCCTTGCCCACTCGGTCCAGACTGGGCCTCAGAGTCCCCCTGATTAGCACAGAGCTCTGGGCAGACACTGCCCCCCAAGCAGATTCGAGAGTGAAATAAAGCTGCCGTCTAGCGCACGAGCCGAGGAAGGTGCACGCCAATAAAAGCCAGTCGCTCTGGGAAGCCAGTCCTTGGTAAGATTTGCTGAAACGGGGGTGGCCACAGTGGACGGTCACGTCCAGCCCCTCCGACCCGAGGCGCCCTCACCTTGCGGATCAGGTCCTGGTTGTACTCGTGGATCTCGGTCATGGCGTCCAGCGTGGGATTGTTGGCCAGCAGCCCACCATCCAGGAAGCGCCCATTGGGCCGGAAGTAGGTGGGGGCTGCCCCGCTGCTCCGGGCGGCTCGCCACACGAGCTGCTCTGGGGGTGAGGGAAGAGGGTGGCCCAGTGGCACAAGGGGCAGTACAAGCCCACGCCGTCTCAGTGTGCTCACGCACAGGACGAGGTAGAGGGGCTGGGGAACTCTCTGGAACAGGACCCACAGGCCATGCGCTACGGCTGAGCCGGAGGGCTCCCCAGTTCCGCGTGCCCTCAGCTGACACAGACGCAGGGCAGCATATGGGATGGGGGTGGGCCCGGGGTGCCCGGCAGCAAGCCCACGACTCCCAGCTGCCACCCCGCAGCCTCTCGGGCCGACTGTTTCCCACAGATGCGACAACCATGGCTCTCACCTGAAGGCTGAGTTAGAGGCTTCAGGTTCACGTTCTGGCTGAAACGAGGTTCCCGGTCGCACTCTGGAGCCTCATAATTCCGGAAGAGGTGAAGTTCAGCGGGCTGCCGGTCCGAGAGCGTCCCTGTCAGCATCACCCTGGAGGGAAACGGAGAGCAAGACAGCCGACTTACCCACCCCTGAAAATCCACTTTGGCAGATCTTTGTCCTAATGCTGAAGGCTGGATCCTTCGGCCCATCGGTCCTCGATCTGGAAGTTCATCCTGAGACATTCTCATGTGTGTGGAAGACGGGCACAGGCAAAGCTATGAACTGCAGCATCGGGTGATAGAACAAACCACTGGAAACAGCTCAAATGTCCATCAAGGGGATGGTCCGCTGCATCGCGGGTCCCCGGGCCCATGGGGTCTGCTGTGTCACTGCACAATGACTGAGGAAGCACTTTATATACTAGTAGGCAGTAAGCATCAAGGTTTATGGTTAAGTGCAAGAAGTAAGGTTTAGAACAGGGTGTGGAGTAGGCCACTGTTTACTTAAACACCCCCCCCCCCCGCCCAACTGATGTACCTATTGGCTTGGTCAGAAGGACCCATGAGCAGAAACTAGGAGCAAGGAGCTGCTTCCGGAGCAGGGGACAGCGTGGTGGCTACGGCTCACAGACAGCAGTGAGACTTCTCACCATGCCACCTTTGATATCTCTTCAGTGGTCCACCGTGTGAGT